ACCCGAATTTAGAGCGACTTCACTTGAGGAGATTCCTGTGCGCCTCTCCACAGTCCGCAAGGCGTTCAATGAGCACAAGACCCGCGACTTGGAGTTCCGCCTCGTCCAGCTGCGCAAGCTGTACTGGGCGTGAGTACTGAGTTCTTCTGTCTTTCTGGTCAATTAGTTAACACTTCCCAGCATCAAAGACAATGAGGAGGATATTATGGAGGCCTGCGCCCAGGACCTGAACAAGCCTCGGTTCGAGACCAACATCGGAGAGAGCGGATGGCTCCTAAATGACATTGTCTTCACGACGCGCAATCTGCACAAATGGGCCAAGGATGAGAAGGCCTCTGATATTGATCTTGCCTTCAAGTTCATGAGCCCTAAGATTAGAAAGGATCCTCTAGGTACTGTGCTGGTCATTGGGTACGTCCCCCCTTCCTTGCCTCGTGATGCGCATGAGAACCATCCCGAAGACTAACAAGCTCTTTTCCACTCTAGTGCCTTCAACTTCCCCTTCCAATTGACTCTCGGCCCCGCCATTGGTGCCATCGCCGCCGGAAACACAGTGGTGATCAAGCCTAGCGAAAATGCCCCCCGCAGCGCCGCCGTCATGCAAAAGATTATCGAGGCCAGTCTCGACCCCTCGTGCTACACAATCATCCAGGGCGGTATCCCCGAGACACAGGCCCTGCTCGCGGAACGGTGGGACAAGATCTTCTTCACAGGCGGTGCCACCGTCGGACGCATCATCGCCAAGGCCGCCGCACAGAACCTGACCCCCGTCGTGCTCGAGCTGGGTGGTATAAACCCAGCCATCGTCTCCAAGAGTGCGGACCCACGTCTCGTCGCCCGCCGCATGCTCTGGGGCAAGCTCCTGAACGCCGGCCAGCTCTGCACCTCGCAGAACTACCTGCTGGTCGACAAGTCGCTCGTTCCGGAGGTCGTACGGGAATTCAAGAATGCATACAAGGAGTTCTACCCTCAGGGTGCTAAGGGCTCGCCTGATTACGCGCGCATCGTCAATGAGACCGCCTTCGCTCGTCTCAAGTCCATGCTTGATAATACTAAGGGCCAGATCCTTATGGGTGGCACTATGGATGAGAAGGAGCTGTTCATCGAGCCCACCGTTGTTCAAGTTGACTCGGTTGATGACTCCATGTGCTCGCAGGAGAGCTTCGGCCCCTTCATCCCCATCTTGCCCGTGGAGAACCTCGACGAAGCCATCAGCCTGGCCAATGGTGTCCAGAGCACACCGCTGGGTCTCTACCCCTTCGGTAACAAGGCTGATGTTAACAAGAGTAGGTTTCGCTCTTTTCTTTTCCTGTTTTGCATCTGATACCCTGCAAAGACAGCTATTCTAACTCTCTCTCCTAGTTGTGTCCTCCACTCGCTCCGGCGGCGTTTCCTGTAACGACGCCGCACTGCACATCCCGACCCTGCCATTCGGCGGTGTCGGCGAGAGTGGCTACGGTGCTTACCGCGGCCGCTCCAGCTTTGACGTCTGGGTCCACCGCCGCGCCATCACTTCCACCCCAAGCTGGCTGGAGTCCCTCCTGGCTATCCGGTACCCGCCGTACGCCGGAAAGATCAGCAAGTTCAATGCTGCTAGCGCCCTGCGCCCCGACTTTGACCGCAACGGCAAGAAGCTGAGTTTCGGCTGGCTGCGCTGCATCTTCACTTTGGGTGGGGGCAGTGCGAAGGCTGGAGCCGGCAGGGCTGCTGCCATTGCTGCCAGTAAGTGATCATTCTTAATTTCCTTCAATCCCCCCCGCGCCATTTCTGTGAATATGCTCTAGGTCTTGCACAGATCTGGCTGGGTGGGTTTAGTTTGGTCTTGGGGACTTTCCTTCAAATGAAGAGGAGAACTAAGCTCCGAGATCCCTGCACCAACCCCTGTCTGTGGCTGCTTATATGCTTCAGACGAAGACGCATAATCCCTGCCTATCTTATATACCCCAACCTCATGTACTGGCTTAATTCTGTTTCCCCCTCCGAGGATGTCCATCTTTACCATTTCCTTTTCACCTTGTCATCATACCCCGGAATCGAGAAAAGATAAGCTCATAATCTGTGAATCTTAATGAATCCTTTCCTCTTTTCCTTTTTCGTCGTCCCCTTTACATTTGACATCCTAATGCGTCTTCACATCTGTTCCACCCCATTTCAACCTGCAGATCATACCTATCAAAGCTTTCGGAAATTGCAGTCTAACCCATAATAGTTGCCTACGTCGTCCTACAGGTCCTCGAACGCCGATCTTCGAAATTGTGAACATCAACATTCACCCCTGAATTTGGATACCCCGCTTCGGGTCTACTGCTTTTGGTGCTGATTACTCCTTGTCTTGGAAGGGAAGTTGGGTTTCGGCTTGGATTATCATATGCGGATGACTTTGGGGTCTTGCCATAGTAAAATAATTTACCATCTAGGTAAGTACTAGTACTTTTTGGATTTCGTTGTTTTTATCTTGGGCGATGGTTTTGTTTGGAACATTTGAATATATGAGCCATGTATTTTTGGAATTTATTCGAGTCTTTTTGTTGTCTTGGATATGTATTACCCTGTAGGCCAGTGAGTAGTTTCAAATGTTATCTAGATATCATCGCATGGTATTGGGGTCTTAGAGCTCCCATAATACAAGGAAAGGCATGTAGCTTTTGTACAAAACCATCTAGCCTACGGCATTACATCAAGGTAAACTCCCGATTGAAAATTATAGACACATCCAACATTCATGTCATCATTCATGCTGTCAAATGCAGTGATTATCGAATGCGCTATCTAAACAAGACAAATACCTCAGTTTTGACCCAAAAAAAGGAAACCAAGTCAAGTACATTGGGCTTTAGCAGCGCCGTTCCACGCCGCGATTACTCACACACAGGTACTTAACACCCTTATATGGTTTGACGCTCTCGCCTAAGCCGCGACTGCGACGCTGGTCGATGTTGAGACTATCCACTTTGATACCAGATGGAAGCCAGCCCCGAACGGAGAAGGATACCGACGCCGAGTTGGGCATCAGACTTGCATTGACCTGGGCTTTGGTTCTGCGCGTGGGACGGGAAGTAGATGATGGGGCGAAGAATGCGGGGAGGTGGGCGTTGAACTGGGATTGTGATTGTGATTGGAGAGGGGGTGTGGGGGTGTGAGGTATGGATGGATTTGGGGATGAGCTGGTAGCTGCGACGGCGTCTTCTTCCGCGTCTTCTGGGTGCAAGGCGGTGGAGCGGGAGGCTTTCTTCGTTGACTTCTTCTTCTTCTTTTTGCGCTTGGATGGGTCGGAGGATCGGGGTTTCTTGGATGTACTGGCGGATGCGTCGTTGTAAGAGGTGGGCGCCTCGTAGTAGCCTTGCAGGAGGTTGGCGTTGGCGTCTTCGTCGGCATCCTCGACGCTGTCATCAAAGTCATCATCGGCGGATGGATAGCCTGAGACGCTGCAACGCAGTGTGGCTGTTCCAGTCAATGATCCGGCATCCTTGCTGGTGGGGATCCGCCACTCTAGGAGCCCACTTGAGGGGGTGAATTGGGCGTCACCACGGCTGGCCTGCATATCCGTGATATGACGGACGGACTTTGAGATCGGTACACTAACAACAACCTCTTCAAGTGCTGGTCCGGAGCTTCCACTTCCGCCCACACCTAGGAATGATGGCGTTGATGTGCCGGATCCGCTTCGGGGAACTCCAGGCCGTGAGGATGAGCTTTGGCCCGGGAAATTTGTGTTCAAAGTCAGTCGAACCTCAAACTCGGAGCCAGATGACCCAAGCGATTTGCGGATATCGACAATAGCAGGTAGGAATAGCTTTTCCATATGGCTTGGTGGCTCCTCCTGGTCAGGATCTATGGGAAGAAGATCCACTTCATATCCAGCCAAAATAAACCGCCCATCGGGCGGTATAAAGCTAAGCTCTCCCGGCCGTTCCTTCCATCGAGCCAGTCGAACACATGGATGGAAAACCGGTAGTTCAATCTTGCGACCAAGGACATGCTGACCACCCGGCGCTGATAACGATAGCAGTAGGTCCGGGACTCCCGATATCTTCGCAGTAAATGCAATGGTGCCGGATACTAATGCAGACAGCAGTCGTCCTGACGGAGCCATAGTAACAGAAAGAGATTCAATGATGTCGACATATAGCTCATTAGAGGTATGCCGTACACCGGGTCGTCGCCAAGGAATGGCGGGTCCTTGTGATGCACTGGCGGCGGCGAGGGATTGCTTGAGAGGATTGGTAGATCCTAGCGTTGGCGTAGATGTACTGAACCGGACGCGAACACGTTAATGCCAAATAATATCGTCTGTCAAGTCAAGAGCTGCTCACCTAGGTACTCCGATTCCACCTAATAGCTTCCCCATCCACCCGGGAACCTCAACAACCTCTTGCAATGCATTGGGTTCGGTATTGCATACTGTTCCCCCATCACACATTTCATTAAGAAGCTGCGCAACAACATCGTAATTGGCCTGGATCTTAGTTGTGAGCAGCGGCGCTCCAACGAAGTCCTCTAGTACATCGATCACGCGATGCAGGAACTCCAGTGCCAGAAGCGGCTCCGTGTCGACTTCGCTTATTGCAAGAAACAACAGATTCGACTCTACTGTCGAGAATACTGTCACCGGCGGTGAAGCGCTAGGAATATGCAGCAAGGAAGGGCGTGGTTCGGCATGGGCAAGGTAGAGGGGCAGGATGGCGGAGGCCGAGGGCGGGCGGGATCGATATACATGTTCGACGAGGGGGCACTGGGGAGGACGGGTTAGTATTGTCTTGCGAACCGGTGCAGAATATCCCACTTTTGCTCGTCGAATATGTAAACGGCATCAATTTCACCGCTCATGATGACTGTTGTCTGATGATGAGATTACTGGTGTCCGTGTAGATTGCATAGCTCTCGTGTTTTGCCGCAGATTCCCGCCTTCCGATAACTTTTTGGAGACAACAGATATCAACTCATAGTAACTGGGCTCTAGTGATACAGTGTGCCCTTGGTTCGTGTTCTTACTCCGAACAATGCTCAATTCACTTTACACACTCTTCACCTCTGATAAGCAAGCCATGGATACCCAGCCGAAAGACGCCAAGCAGGCTCTGGCCGAGGACAAGTACGACGACTGTTTGTCCTGCAGAGTGACTGGTATGTTCTATTCTTAGCCTGTGGTCCGGGCTGGTATTACCGGCATGTTGTACTGATATCCTGTACTAGGATCTGCTGCTTTTATGGGCCTTGGAGTCTACAGCTACTACACTGGAATGGCCAATCTCCGGAAACAAGAGAAGGCCATCATGCAAGGCCCCACAAAATACAAGATGGGCTCGCGCAAGTTGGGGATTGCCTCGATCTCTGCGACATTAGTGGGAATGGGGTTGTGGCGGGCGTTCAATTGAGTACTGTACATTAAACCAATTTTAAAGCATATGGGATGTGATGAAGGCTGGGACCGAGCAGGCTAGATGTTTGATAGTGAAGGGCAGGTTGGAAGCTTTGTAAGATATTGATTGTTATTTAGTTGCAAGCTAATGATAATTGCCACTCCGGGTATCGGGTATCACCACCAGGCATATCCGTCTATATGCTATATCACAAGTGGAAGGGGGAAAAATAAGGGAAAAAAAAGAGACAAGAAGACAACAAAGAAACCCAAGGAAGAGAAGAACAAAAAAAACCATATGCAAAATGTCCCTTCCTTGTTATGCACCCGAAAAGCACCTTCATACCCGTAATCTCAACCAGCCACAGTGTGACAATCAGAAGGGAATGGTCGTCACTTCGTCATCATATAATACTTTATCTGGGTCAAGCCCTAAGTAAAGCGGCCTCGTTTCCCACCTCCTGATGCATCCCGTCCGTTGTTCAGTCCGGACAGATCGAAGAAATCTGGGAAAGTGAATTTCCTCTTGGACCCAATACTGGCGGGTGACTCCCGCGGCGAAGGGCGCGCATTTGATCGGGGGTGGTTGTTGTGGCGGTGGTGTGGTCGACTGTTGCGAGGCATCACTGAGACACTAACAGGAGCGCCGTCCTGCATTGTCGCAGATGAGTTGTCTGACGACTGCACATCCATGTCGAGCTCTTGACACTGAGGGTATGTAGGACCAGCGGAGAAGGTGAAGACGGCAGGTGTGGCGAAAGAAGGTGTTTCGTGGAGCTGTGTGGGAGGAGGAGGAGGAGTGGTTGACTCTGGCTTGGATGTGGGTGCGGGCGCTGAAGTGGGGGGCTGACGAACAAGTGTTTCGGGTGTAGGTTTTTCTTTGCGGACAGTAGCCGGAGTAGCACTTCGGTCACGCTTGTCGGCCTCCGCGTCTTCATCGCTGCTTTGTGATCCAGTTCCGTCACATTTTTCGGTTGCCCATTGCCGAACCTTCCACCCCTCTCCGTCTCCGAGACCGAGGTTCTCACGGTCAAGGAAGTGGAGCAGATCCTCTATCGCATCCTGGTATCCTGTTGTCCTTGCCTGAGATTGTTCACACACTGCATTCTTGTACAGGTTTGTGACGGACAGAGCTGCCGCCTTGAATTGCTGGAGGAGCTGCTCCGGAGGTTGCGGGCGGGGTGTCGAGCTCGGAAGGGAGGTGTTGAGGGACCTCATGGAGTCCATGGCAGGGAAGAATGTCAAGGCCCTGTTGCGCAGTGGTTTTGAGGACGAAAGTGTTTGTTTGTGTTGACAACTTCTTATGCTGTGGGTCGTTTCTCAGTGGACAAACGGCGAGAGGGAAGAGCTTGGAAGTGGTGAAAGAGAGAAGTGGAAATGAGAAGGACTGTGAGAAGATAGAAGGCAAGAGCCAATATAGCTATAACCAGATATATCAAGGTAGTTGTTCACCCAACTGTGCAACAATAAGCGGCATTCAGATGTTGTCAACGGAGGAACTTTCGTTTTCAAGGTTGTTGCAGATGACCGCCCTGGCCCGGTAACGAGAAGCCCACTTTCCGACGGAATAACAATATTCCATACCGTAGGGCCCTACCGAAAGGCGGTATCTTCATTTGCCATGGACGCGCTTGGGATACCTTCAATAATCCTGGTCTAGAATTGTTCAGCGGCATTCAATCTATGGGATCACCATTGATGAATCACTCCAACTTTTGAATTTACCCTGGACTATATTTACCCAATCCCCCTCGTTTCCTCAGCACTCCGACTGCAGTTGGTTCTTTCTTTCTGCACTACGCGATCCGACTAGTCGCGAGCTTCCGATATTCTTTGTTGCACGCTCAAAGACGTGTTTAATAGCGAACGCACCTCCACTTTGTTCACCAAAGATAAAACATGGCTCCTGCCCTCGCGTCTGATCCAGTCTCGCAGGCTGATACTCCTATGACTGATACAAATGACGACACGGTCCCTTCGGTGCCCGTGGATAGTGCCGACGCGCAAATGACGGTATGTGAAATTGTTTTTGAGACCGCTGCATGATTTTCCATTGCTTTTTAGGTTCCAGATTCGCTAATTTTCTTTCGCAATCTAGAGCCGCCAAAACACCCCAGATTACACGGTAACGATGCCCTTGGCCTATAGCGCTGTTAGATAGGGAAGGTTGCTAATTATTTGAATAGGACTCTGACACAAATCCCAACACCACTGCAAGCAGCGTTGCGGGCGACGCCGCGGCCGATGGACGTAGGCGCAGATCTGAGGCCAACCACCTTAGAAAAAGCATCCTAGGCAAGAAGCATGGCCGCCTTGATAATACGAAGGTATGGATTATAACATAAGATTGTTGACAGCCCTTGCTCATACATGATGTTTTGTAGGAGGATGATTCGATTCGCCGATTCCGATACCTTCTGGGTCTCACTGACCTATTTCGCCACTTCATCGAGACCAATCCAAACCCTGAAATCAAAGGGATCATGGCAGAAATCGACCGACAAAATGCAGAGACAGAGGAAAAGGCCCGCAAGGGCTCCAAGCGCACTGGGGGTGCTGGTAGTGAGCGGCGCCGCAGAACCGAACAAGAAGAAGACGCAGAGCTGCTACAGGATGAGAAGCAGGGCGGTGATAGCACCACCGTATTCCGAGAGTCGCCAGCATTCATCCACGGTGAGCTACGTGATTACCAGGTTGCAGGCTTGAACTGGCTCGTTTCGCTACACGAGAACGGTATCTCCGGTATCCTGGCCGATGAGATGGGTCTCGGCAAGACCCTACAGACGATCTCGTTCCTGGGATATCTACGTTACATCCGTGATATCAACGGCCCCCATTTGGTCGTCGTACCGAAGTCAACCCTGGACAACTGGAAGCGAGAGTTCGCAAAGTGGACCCCCGATATCGATGTCCTGGTGCTCCAAGGTAACAAAGAAGAACGACAAAAGTTGATCAATGAGCGCTTAGTCGAGGAGGAGTTCGATGTCTGCATTACCAGTTATGAAATGATCCTCCGCGAGAAGTCGCACCTGAAGAAGTTTGCCTGGGAATATATCATCATCGACGAGGCCCATCGGATCAAAAACGAAGAATCATCGTTGTCGCAGATCATCCGTCTTTTCAACTCCCGCAATCGGTTGCTAATCACCGGTACCCCGCTACAAAACAATCTACATGAATTGTGGGCCTTGCTCAACTTCCTTCTCCCAGATGTCTTCGGCGATTCCGAGGCATTTGACCAGTGGTTCTCAAACCAGGATTCCGACCAAGACACCGTGGTACAGCAACTCCACCGTGTTCTTCGCCCTTTCTTGCTCCGACGTGTGAAGAGTGATGTCGAGAAGAGTTTGCTACCGAAGAAGGAACTAAATCTCTATGTCCCAATGTCTGAAATGCAACGGAGGTGGTACCAGAAAATTTTGGAGAAAGATATTGACGCCGTCAACGGCGCCGCTGGGAAGCGCGAGTCCAAGACTCGACTGTTGAATATTGTCATGCAACTGCGGAAGTGTTGCAATCATCCCTACCTGTTCGAGGGAGCTGAACCAGGCCCTCCTTACACCACCGACGAACATCTTGTTTTCAACTCCGGAAAAATGGCCATTCTGGACAAACTTCTGAAGCGCATGCAAGCGGATGGTAGTCGTGTGCTCATCTTCTCTCAGATGAGTCGTGTACTGGATATCTTGGAAGATTACTGTTGTTTCCGCGACTACAACTACTGCCGTATCGATGGTACCACAGCACACGAGGACCGCATTGCTGCCATTGATGACTACAACAAACCCGGATCCGACAAATTCGTTTTCCTTCTCACCACCAGAGCTGGTGGTCTGGGTATCAACTTGACCTCAGCTGATATCGTCGTCCTCTTCGACAGCGACTGGAACCCGCAAGCTGATTTGCAAGCCATGGACCGAGCTCACCGCATTGGTCAGACCAAGCAGGTTAAAGTTTTCCGATTTATCACAGAGAACGCCATTGAAGAGAAGGTTCTGGAGCGAGCAGCTCAGAAACTGCGTTTGGATCAACTTGTCATTCAACAAGGTCGTGCTGGACAAGAGGCCGGCAAGGCATCTTCGAAGGACGACCTCCTTGGTATGATTCAACACGGCGCTGCCAACGTCTTCAACACAAAGGGTGGGGACGAACAGGATGTAGCCGAAGATGAAGATATCGAGACTATCCTGCGTAAAGGCGAAGAACGAACTGCAGAGCTCAGCAAGAAGTACGAGACCCTCGGCATTGATGACTTGCAGAAGTTCTCATCCGAGAGTGCGTATGAATGGAACGGCAAAGATTTCACCGAGCGGAAGAAGGATATTGGCATCAGTTGGATCAACCCAGCCAAACGTGAGCGCAAAGAGCAGTTTTACTCCATCGACAAATACTACCGCCAAGCGCTGGCCACTGGAGGCCGCACCGCCGATACAAAGCCCAAGGTCCCACGTGCTCCTAAACAAATCACTGTCCACGACTGGCAATTCTTCCCTCCTGGCCTCCACGAGCTCCAAGAGAAGGAGACTGCCTACTTCCACAAGGAAATTGGTTACAAGGCTCAATTGCCTGAAGGTCCCGAAGAGGAGCTGAGTGAGCGAGAGGCCGAGCGTGACCTTGAACAACAGGAGATTGACAACTCTGTTCCTCTTACTGAGGAGGAGCAAGCTGAGAAAGCTCGTATGTCAGAAGAAGGGTTTGCAACCTGGAACCGACGTGACTTCCAGCAATTTATCAACGGATCTGCCAAGTTCGGTCGCACCGACTACAAGGGTATTGCTACTGAGGTGGACAGCAAGGAGCCCAATGAGATTAAGGAATATGCCGAAGTCTTCTGGCGCCGATACACCGAGATCCAGGACTATCCTAAGTACCTCCGAGTCATCGATCAGGGTGAGGAGAAGGTGCGGAAGATAGATCACCAGCGGAAGATGCTCCGCAAGAAGTTGGAGATGTACCGTGTGCCGCTTCAGCAGCTGAAGATCAACTACACCGTGTCCACCACCAACAAAAAGGTTTACACCGAGGATGAGGACCGATTCTTGTTGATCATGTTGGACAAGTATGGAGTCGAAGGCGAGAATTTGTATGAGAACATCCGTGAAGAGATCCGTGAATCGCCTCTATTCCGATTCGATTTCTTCATGCTCAGCCGCACACCCGTGGAAATTGGTCGCCGCTGCACTACTCTACTGAACACCGTGGCGAAGGAATTCGAGCCCAGTGAGGGCAAAAGCCGCGTTCGTGACCGTGATGAGGAGGAAGAGATAGAAGAAGCGCCCCCTGCCAAGAAGAAGGCTAAGAATGGAGCTGCTGTAAGTTTTGTCTAGCCCATCATTATCTGTCACTTTTGTCCTAACTTTTTTTTTTTACAGCCGACCAAACAGGTCAAGGCCACCAAGGGTGGTAGCAAGACTGCCTCTACCGCAAGTTCCCGAGCTCCCAGTGCTACTGCAAGCAAGCCTAAGACTCGCAAGAGGTAATCATGTGGATTGAGGGCCCACGGGGGGGGGGTTGTGTACGTTCCCAGTTTGCTAAGGAGGTTATTGGTGATTCGGGTATTGGGGGTTTTTTTATCGGGATCGGCGCAATATCTTTTAATGTACTTTTGTAATTGAAATAGAGTTACTTGTCTTACTTCGAAAGGCTTATAGTATTCATATGTATTCCTTGATAATCCCAGCACATTCACGAAATCCCCCTGACCGGAGTCCGCCGTGTATCGCAGTGCATAGCGACCATCAGGGACTTTAATTAGGATTCACCACTAATATAGACTCGATTAGAAGTCAAGGTACCGTTTTAGATGGCTTTTTAGATGGCTTTTAGGATGATCAGTTGTAAGGTATGAAATAGGATAGAAGGGACAATTCCCCTAGTAGTGTGCACTACGATAACCATGTAGATCGGACACCACCTCCATCATGCTGAAACAACCTTGGAACAGAAATACAGGTTTCTGGGATTCGCCTCCATAAAACTGACAAATGACTAGCCCGCCTACTAGGCATCGTAATATTTGAACGCCATGACGACGCTTGTTTCAAACAACCCTCCCCCAGTTCATTGCATGATATTATTCTAGCATAAGTACTTAAGGAGACCCAACGCCCTAGCCATTCATTCTCAAACCCCTCAAATCCAAAACAATCCACCTCCCCCCACCATGGCGACTAAAATCAATCTTATCGCGAACCCGCATTACCAGAAGTCCGGCACAAAGTCGTACTTGTACGCCATGCGCAAGTATCGCTTCACCCCAACTAAAGGCGGCCCGTATTTCCTCGGCACTACAATGGTACAGACTGGCCGACAGTTCACTGATAAGCCCATCGGAGGCCGTGCTCGGTTGCTGCAGGTGCTGCAGAAGAAGGACGCCGTTAGCGACCAAGTTGGACAAGTGGGTGTCCACGATATCCAGAATGACTCGATGTATCTTGCAGAAGTTGGTATTGGTACACCTGCACAAACGCTTAATTTGGACTTTGATACTGGGTCTGCGGATCTATGGGTAAGTACATAGATTTCTTCCTGTTTTTCTCTGTGCGATGCGATAGTGGTTAAGAATTCTGGATGTCTAGGTCTGGTCCACGGAGTTGTCGTCTAAGACTTTGTCGGACAACAAGAACCATACAGTCTTTGATCCGACCAAGTCTGTTACTTTCAAAGAGAAAGATGGCTCAACGTGGCAGATTAAGTACGGTGATGGCTCTTCTGCTAGAGGCACGGTCGGCAACGATAATGTCAACATCGGCGGGCTGGTGATCAAAGACCAGGCTGTTGAGATCGCTGATATATTGTCCGATCAATTTACACAAGGTGCTGGGGATGGGCTACTGGGACTTGCGTTCGGTAATATCAATACTGTCAAGCCCGAGGCCGTGAGCACGCCTGTGGAGAATATGATCTCGCAATCCGACATCCCGAAGTCAGCTGAGATCTTCACCGCAAAGTTGGGGTCATGGCGAGACTCTGATGAGCAGGATAAGGGCGAGTCATTCTATACTTTTGGTTATATTGATCAGGACACGGTGAAGGCCGCTGAGGCAGAGATCTCCTACACGTCTGTCGATAACAGTCAGGGATATTGGCTGTTCGATTCTGCATCAGCAACAGTGAATGGGAAGTCGGTCTTTCGGGCTGAAAACAAGGCTATTGCTGATACAGGGACTACTTTGGCACTGGTGGATGATGAAACTTGTCAGGCCATTTATGATGCTATCCCCGGGGCGGAGTATGACGATGACAGCCAGGGATGGATCTTCCCATCCAACACATCGGCTGATAAGTTGCCTGTTATCTCTTTTGCTGTTGGTGATACGCAATTTGTTGTGCAGAAAGAAGATCTCGGATTTGCGGAGGCTAAGTCTGGTTATGTCTATGGAGGCATCCAAAGTCGGGGTACTATGACCATGGATATTCTAGGTGATACTTTCCTGAAGGCCATCTATGCAGTGAGTGATATATATTTGGGGAGTTCACAGTCGCACAAGCTAATCCGATGATTAGGTCTTCGATGTCGGTAATCTTCGCTTTGGTGCTGTACAGCGCAAGGAGCTTCATCAGGATCTCGCTGTGCCTTCTGAGTCTAGCTAGGCATGTAAATGTTCATTTACAAGAATAGTCGGCCGCCTATGTGGCCTTGTCATGGTCCTTTTGGTACCAACCTGGTCAGCCCTTTTAGATTTTAGTCGTAGATGTATTGAAACCCGGCAAAAAGCATGGACTATGCAGAGGACCTTCCTATGTATAACTACTACAGAATGCATTTACCGCTATGTGAACAGAAAAAGAACTTGCTACAATCCACTAACAGAAAACAAATAACAACCAAGTGAAAAGCGCTTCCATATGCATTCTCAAATCACAATATCACAGGTCTGTCCATTTGATGATGGGCTTGATAACCTGCAGTATATCTGTCAGCTTGTCTCTTTGAAAGATTGATGTTGTAGCACTTACGCTTCCAGACTGTAAATCTGCCATGGCTTGCTCTAAGTCGCCTGGGGGATAGATCTTAGCAAGCTTATCAACCGGGAATTTCCCTTGCTTGTATAGATCAATCAGTTGTGGAACAATCTGAACAGCGACGAAAGGTTAGTCACGACTCGAGCGATTGTCAAAAAAGGAAAGACGCACCACAGCGGGATTCGCACAGCCCTCAATAACACCAACGACTCGCTTGCAAGCCATCATGAGTTCCAAAGGATCGATATTGAGGGACGATCCAGCACGAGCCACACCAACAATAGCTAGGGTACCTTCATGACCCAAAGCTTTGACGGCAGCCTCAAGCAGAGGAACTACACCCGTGGTATCGAGTATACAGTCAACGCCATCTGGGAATATATCCAATAGCCCCTGCGCAAGATCCGATACGCTCTTCGTGTTCAACGTATGCGATGCACCAAGAGACTTCGCCATCTCGAGCTTCTCATCAACAATATCAACCGCGATAACGGTTTGAACTCCCTGAGACCGGGCAGCTAACATAGCCGCCACTCCCACAGCGCCCATACCAAGAACAGCAAAGCGACTTGTCGGTGTGGGCTTAAGGACATTGAATACGGTGCCAGCACCGGTGAGATACCCACAGCCGAGAGGAGCAAGGACCGCCATGTCTTCGACTGTGAGTCCAGACCCCGAGGGAGATTTGACGACCGACCGTTCGTCGACCACAGCCAGCTTGCTCATAGAGGACTGACCGAAGAACTGGCCACGGATTGGGCCCTTTCCGCCTGGAAAGGAGATGGGTGACTCGGCAGCGCTGAGACCTCGAGCACCGGCGAAGTTAATCGGTGTCATTTGACCGCAGAATCCATTTCGACCGTTGCTACAGGATCTGCATGTCTCTTCGTGGCAGGAGCTGAAACTCAGGAAGACGAGGTCGCCTTCTTGGAGGGATTTGTCTTTCACGCCACTGCCGACGCGGCGGACGATTCCGGCGCCTTCGTGGCCTAGTACGGCGGGATAATCACCGACAGGGATTGCGCCCTGTTGGACGACAATATCCTGAGGGTATTCTGTTAGTCTCGTTTAACTATTTGGAGAAGTTTCATGGTGGAATGAATGATGATACATACTGTGTGGCAAAGGCCTGTATATTTCATTTCAACCAAGACTTCATTTGACCGGACTTCATCAAGAACAACATCTTGAAGAACAAAAGGAGCTCCTGGTTTATCCACCACAAATGCCGTGGTTGGGATCTGTTTTTCTGGGATCATAGTGAGGTTGGTTTGATGTACATGCGACGAGGATCTTCCTATGGGTGATAAATATCTGATGAGTACTCTCTATACACAAGCTAAAGATAAAGACACATACCTCTAATTTAGGGTTGAAGGGAACTGACTTCTTAAGGACATCCGGATCTTAAGGATATCCGGACCTTTAAGGCATCTACTTTGGATCTCTAAGGCATCTCCTTTGCGTTTTGCGTCTCTTCCCCCAGAAGCCCTCGTTTGTTCCCCCCACAAATCTCCACAACCCGACTTCGGCAACGAGTTTCGGTATATCTCGATCGAAAAGCTCTGTTTTAATGGGTGTGCTTTGATGGTTTGGATCCTGATGTTGCTTTGATTAAGGGGATTGTTGCTACCCACCCACTCCCCCCCCACTTTTGAATAATACCACCTCCCTTTGGATGATACCACACCCGCTGCCTGAAATATCGGGCATAATTACTACCGCTCTCCTAATCGGGTACCGCTTTTACCTCGATACCTAAATCTGCCTACTACCTTACCGCCTTCCAATTTTTACACCGCCTTCGTGCCAAACTACCCCTAACACTATATATAGGACGACAGTAGATGGATACCTACAATTTGTGTATAAACACCATATAAAATTAAGTCACTTTTGTCATATAGATTAGACCAAGTCCCCGAGGTGCTAGGAACCTTCTAAGTACCTAGGCTAGTACCTAGGCCACTACACAGTAACCGTAGTCTTCACCGGATGCGCTAACCTAAGATACTTCTATACACCGAGATCCTTCGTCAAAGGAGGAGAGCCGGGGCCGCGGGCGTTGTCGTGGGCGTGGGCGGGGGGTAGTGGACGGGGAACCGGTAGTGGTGAAGCCGGCGGTAGTGGTTGAGGACGTGGCCGAGGCCCAGGGCGGGGAGCAAAGCGCGCGGAAGGGTTAAGAAGCAGGATACTTAATTTGTAGAGTAGATCGATATAGAAACCAATGAAATGTACGATTTTTTCTGATCAAAATGCAGTGTATTTTACTATGTAAACCAGAATTATATGGGGGTGGCAGAAATAAATGGCAGAATCAGTATCGCACCCGATCGGGAAGGCGGTACTGGAATTTCAGGCAGGGGAGGTGGTATTATCTAAGGGGGGTGGTAGCAACAATCCCCTTGATTAAATGCATTAAATGCATCAAATCGATAAGATGCGTTAACTATGTGATTAACCTATAAGTCAAGAACAAAGAACTTCAAATCAAAAACTCCAATTTACTTATGTGCTATTGTACAAAGATGCAGTGTGTATATGCTAAAATACAGAGTTATTAACAGTTAGATTACCACATTTTTTCCTTTCCTATGTTCTTTTCCATGTTCTTTTCCTTCTTGAGGACACCACCCACAGTCATCGGTGTTCGCAGGAACTTCTCCATCAGTAGTGCCGCGGCGACACTCACATTGAGACTGTCGATGCGGGCAGGATCCGATTGAACACCTAGGATGGAACTCTGCCGGGCGCCTGGAATGCTGATGATCGCATCTGCATGCGACTTGATATGCGAGCTCAATCCAGTAGCCTCACTGCCCATCATTATCACACTAGGCGCAGTAGTGCTGGGTAATTGAGCCCTGCTTTGATCGCCATCGGCCGATATGTGGTCCAAATACACGGAGCCAGGAGTTGGGGCATCTGCAGCATAGAACCGCCACCCATTCTGCTGGGATCGCTGAATGAAATCAACTTCATTTTTCACATGAAGGATAGGCATATTCTCAGCTGCACCAGCAGAACATTTGATTGTGATGGGAGACAATGGTGCGGAGTTGCGACCAGCTAGAACAATTGCATCGACACCTAGGAAATAGGATGAGCGGATGATGGCCCCCATATTACCGGTATCGACCACTCCATCTAACAGCAAGACAATTGGGTATCGATGGCTCTGTTCAGTTTCATGCGGGGGCGGGGAAGGATGATGGATGTGGATACGATCATCGGTGCCATTTACCGCAGCTTCTTCCCGCGTTTGTGGTGCAAGCTCCGTCCGGAAATACTCTTCGGATATAGATGGAACAGCCTGGAGACCACGCACTGGCAATTTTGGTAAAGGTGATGCCTCCAAAATACATCCATTGTGGGGTCGCCCAGCACTCATCTTGTCCATAAGTCGATCCCACCCTGCAAATGCCATTTTTACTGCAATGTTCTTTGACAGTGCCAGTTTGCGGATTGTGACCTTCGCTGCACTTAGCTCTTCCTCCGTGCCCTGGTAGATATAAAGCTTGTAGAGTTGACGCCGACTGCAGCGCAAAGCCGCCTCCACAGCGCTGGTGCCGTAAATGAACTCAGATGCCGGTGTAGTGTAGGGGATTGTGTCCGGCACTTTGACGTTGTCCTTCACCCGTTCTGGAATTCTCTCCGTGATCCGATGAGCCCTAGGTTTTGCTGGCTCCTTCTCTCTTGGTTCATCCATTGGAGGCCGTCCTCTTCCCGCTTGTGTGAATGGACCATCTTGTGTTCGCGATTGGAATCGGGATTGGAATCGGGATTGATGTTCACGGGGCAGTCCTCGGAAATCACCAGAACGAATAAACTCATCCTCGTCGAACTCAAACTTTTCTTCCTTTCGGCTTTGTCGTGGGAATTCGGACTTGTCATTCCATGGCGATTGTCGGCGGTCATAGTCTTTACGACCTACACCGTCTGATGTCCAGGCTTTTTTCGCTCCGTATTCTCGCTCACGCTGGCCGTAATTGCGTTGCACACCAGAGTTGAATCCTGATCTTTCGGGCTTTTCTTCTCCATATTGTCGTGCCCCATATGTTCGACGGTCATTGAAGTTGGGTTGATCTGACCTTCCGTATTTTTGTTGTGGTCCGTCTGTTTTTGGTCCGTTTGTTTGACGACCATTGAAATTGGAGCCACCTGATCTCTCGTATTGTCGCACTGCGTATTGCCCCTCGTATTGTCGCTGGCGCTTAGGAAAGCGAGACTCGTTGCCGCGACGATTATCTCTGTCCACGGACTGAGACCTGCGAATACCCTCCCCAATTGCTGAATTCAATGATGCATGCCGAATAGCAAAGACTGTAGAATTTGAGGAACTGATCACTCTTAAAAGACCATTCAAGCCCGTCCTTGAAATACTAGTTCTGAGCATTGCGACGAAGTTCCGGTCTTCGTAGATCCTCTCCTTGCGCCACATTGAAGAACTTCGTTATCGATCTGCGCGATAGGTCTGTATCCGCAACCGAGCTTATCGTTTATCGTTTATCGGGCGCCAAACCAAACGCGCCGGAAGTATTGACGCGATCGATTTGTGTATGCGACTCAATCTTGTTGACTTCGACTTTCTTCTTCTCATCTCCTTCATTCATTCCTTCATGATTCTCTTTCATTGATTCGAACTCATCTTTCCTTTGAGCATCCAGTCGTCCCAGTGTTTACTTGGTTGTTCATTGGGAGATTTCCCATCATCGATTCAATACCCTCAGTTCACTCAAGTCTCCAAACCCTCACTTGTAAGAACCGCGTGTGCAGTCCCTATAGCTTCATTTTCATTTCCTGATCGCTCATCTGGTCAGAAAATCATCATGTCTCAATCTAGAGACGATTATCCATACTGCCCATCACCTGAAGACCCTGACGCAATGGCGGCACAATTGCTAGCGCAATTGCAGAGCGCTTCCTCTCGCACGACTCCCATCCTCACTCCTAAGGGCTCCGAAAATGCCCTTCAACCAGTGGAAGAGTTCACTGGAAACTCAAAAGGATCCACAAGGACCTTTGAAATCATCGCCCCAGCGGTTAACAACCCCGAGGACTATGAGTATTTGCCCGGTCATTTCGAAGTTCACCGCATTCTTGCGGTCGATATGGATGAGCCAAAGCTCATTGTGAGACTCAAAAGTGGTGAACGTCAAACTGTAAGTGAAAGCAAACAATCAATCAATCCCAAACTCCATTCATCTGACAATGACTTTCATAGATGACCATCAAGAAATTGAAAAGCCTCAAGAACGGACGGGAGGCTTTGCGTGAATTCAACCGTGACTCACAGAGTCCTGATCCCCTGGCAATGGACCAAGCACCTCGTTCACGTCTCATTTACTCGGGTGGAGATGGTCCTGCAGACTATGATTCAGAGTTGGACTGGGGAGTTGCACGAAGGCGCCAACGGCGTGGCCCGGTGATCTCATATGATCATTTCTTCCGCAATGGCGAGGAAGATGACGATGGCGATGATGACCACCAAACCCGCCGTGAAGATAGCACTAGTACTAGCGAGGAGATCGAATACTCAGAAGAATCCAGCGATGATGATGCTCCAACCAAACGCCGCCACCTGAGAAGAGGTGTACGAAAGGGCCGAAAGCAACGCAGTCGCGAATGGTCTGAACAGACCTCCGCCTCCGATACAGGCAAACGAACATCATCCCGTCTGCGACAAACTCGTCGACGCAACATGAAAGAGCGCCTTGAAGACGACGAATATTCTGAGCGCGAAATTGAGCAGCCGAAGCAGAAGTTCTCAGGTGCGCGGGAGCAGTTCCGTGAACTACCGCTGGACAATGAGTTCAGACAGTGCCACTCCCAGTTATGTGCCCAATGCGGCCATGAAGATCATGACCCCGAAAAGGGGGCTTTGGTTTTCTGCCAGGGTTGTACTTTGTCATATCACCAAGGTTGTCTTGGCGATCGAAGCAGCCGGAAGCACTTGGTCACTAAGGTTGATGAAGGTGACTTCATTCTTCAATGCAGTCGTTGCTTAGGGATCAAGCACCAAGAACATGACGTAAAGCCTCATTTGGGCCATTGTGCCGTGTGCAGAGACGAAGGACCCATGTCGCAGCCTTTGCGGGAGACTCTTTCCTCGCAGACTGAGCAACAATTGCGGGAAGCCAATAATGGCATAGATCCGATTACCCATGTGGATATGTCTCGTATCAACAATGTCGACAATGTCCTCATCAGATGCCTTGGCGGCACTCACAGCTGCAAGCGAGCTTTCCATCTCGAGCATCTACCAAACGTGGCAGAGAAGGATCGTCCGGACATTGATCCTGCTAACTGGCAATGCGATGTCTGTTCTGAATCTCCCCAAGGGGCCAATCCAATAAACGTGATCGTTGCTTGGAGGCCAAAAAAGCCCGAGGTTAATGTTGTCCCGCGGTTGGTCGAAATGATCCCGGAGATCGACAAAGAATATCTTATCAAGTGGAACAAGATGTCCTACTTCCGTGTCAACTGGTTGACTGGAGACTGGGTCTGGTCCAAGGTCCCAGCTAGCCAGATGAAAGCGTTTCTCAGGTCAGATCGATCGACTAAACCCATCATGACAACAGCCGAGGCTGTACCCGAAGACAATCTGCGAGTGGACATTATCTTTGATGTGGAATATCACGTCGAGCCTGAATCCCAAGAAGATCGAGCAAACGCCGGGATGGTTAAGCGGGCATATGTCAAGTACAAAGGGTTGACTTATGAAGACTCAGTCTGGGAAGAACCCCCCAGTCCGACCGACACAGCCCGTTGGGAAGACTTCCAAGCTGCTCTTACGGACAGGGTGCTCCGAGAGGATATCCAACCCCCGAAGCCGAAAGAGCTTCAGAGACGCCTCAACGACGCCCGCAGAGAGGATTTTGACCAGAGCCTTATGATGACTGCTCAACCTGCGTTGGTGACCGGTGGTCAGCTCATGGAGTATCAGCTGGATGGTGTGAACTGGCTGCTTTACATGTTCTTCACACAGAAGAACGCTATTCTTGCTGACGATATGGGCCTTGGAAAGACAATCCAGGTCCTGACGCTGTTCTCCGCATTGATCGAACAGCTCAACTGTTTCCCATTCTTGGTCGTTGTTCCAAATGCGACTGTGCCAAATTGGCGCCGAGAGATCAAGAGCTGGTCGCCGGACGTTCGCGTTGTCACGTATTATGGCAGTGCTTCCGCTCGCGAGATGACCAGGGAGTACGAGATGTTCCACAAGAATGGTACTCTATGTTGTCATGTGGTCATTGCTTCGTACGAGAGCATGGCCGACGATGGGGCTAAGCGAGTTTTGTCCAGTGTCAATTGGGCCGGCTTGGTAGTTGATGAAGGCCAGCGCCTCAAGAATGACAAGACCCAGCTCTATGAGCGCCTTCGTCGCATGAAATTCGGTTTCAAGTTGCTTCTCACTGGCACACCGCTTCAGAACAACATCAGAGAGTTGTTCAATCTGGTTCAGTTCATCGACCCGACCTACAATGCCGAGAAGTTGGAGGCCCAATACGGAGGAGCCCTCGACAAGGAAGACATTCGCGAGCTTCACGACATGATTCGGCCGTTCCTCCTGCGTCGAACCAAGACAGAGGTTTTGCCATTCCTCCCCCGATGGTGCAAATCATCATCCCGATTTCGATGTCCGTTGTGCAGAAAAAACTGTACAAATCAATCCTGCGCAGGAGCCCGCAGCTTATCAAGGCTATTTGCAAGAAACAAACCGGGCCGTTGAAGAAATCCGAGCGGCACAATCTGAACAACATCCTCATTCAGCTGCGCAAGTGTCTTTGCCACCCGTTCATCTACAACCGGGACATTGAAGAACAAACTCTAGACACCCAACTTTCCCATCAGCGGTTGGTCGAAGCATCCGGGAAACTTCAGTTGCTGAATTTGATGCTGCCTCAACTTCGAGAGCGTGGACACCGCGTCCTCATCTTCAGCCAATTCTTAGAGAACCTTGACATTGTTGAAGACTTCCTCACTGGACTGGGACTCCAGTACTGTCGCCTGGATGGACGTTTGTCCTCGAGAGAAAAGCAGCAGCAAATCGACCAGTTCAACGAGCCGGATTCCCCTTTCTTTGCCTTCTTGCTTTCGACACGGTCGGGTGGTGTGGGAATCAACCTCGCCACTGCCGATACAGTGATCATCATGGATCCTGATTTCAACCCCAAGCAAGACATGCAGGCTTTGTCCCGTGCCCATCGAATCGGGCAGAAGAACACGGTTCTTGTTTTCCACCTGGTAGTGCGCGCGTCAGTGGAAGAAAAAATCATGCAGAAAGGTAAAACAAAGATGGCCCTCGATCACGTACTTATCGATCGCATCGAAGCCGACGAAGATGAAGAAGACCTGGAGTCAATCCTCAAGCATGGTGCCCAGGCTCTTTTTGATGATGATAACTCGGCAGATATTACCTATGATAACCCCTCCATTGACAAGCTGTTGGACCGTAGCCAGGCTGAGCAGGCCGAGCAAGTGGCCAACGAGGGAAGTTCGAATCAGAATGACCAGGCGCAGTTCAATTTCGCCCGGGTGTGGCAAAAGGATCAAGGTAGCCTTGAAGAAGTGACTGAGACTGAGGACGCCCCTGTGGACATCACGGCGTGGGAGAAGATTTTGCAAGAGCGTGAGCGTGAAGCGCTCGAGGAGGCTAGCCGACAAGCCGAGGGTCTTGGGCGCGGTAAGAGAAAGCGCGGTGCGCCCCGCTACAATACCATCATTGAAGGGGTCGACGACGAAGAGAACCCCAGTCCCCCACAGAAGCCGCCTACCAAGATGCGAAAGGGCACCGCCGATGACAACGATTACCAGGAGCCCGACGACGATGGCGATGAGACTGAGTCTGACCTTGGAGGTGACCCAATGGTCACTGCATATGATGGAATTGAAGGAATGGGCACTGAGATTGGTGGTGAGGTGGCTGAACCTGGAGCTGGTCAAAGTGGATCTGTAGAGGAAGTCGCTGTTGATCATGTTGTGAATGCTGAACAGCGAGGTAAGAACTAACTCATCCCAATTCCAAGCGTGTTTTATTACTCTTTGCTTTTTCTTCTTTTTCTTCCATTTTTTTGGATTTTTTTTTGGTTTTAAAGTCTATCCTATCATTCCTCATTGCGACCATAAAAACATTTTGGTTAACATACATGATTCAAACGGCAGCCCGCGCGTTCCGTCGTGTTGAATCTCCACCCCCGGTGGCACAGATAGGGACCGATGGCATCCAAAATACTTCCCCGCCTTGTGTGGCATGCCAACAACGGCACATCCCTGGGTATTGTCCACTCCGCCACGCCGGCGTCGAGTTCTGCGGTCTATGTGGCCTGGCGCACTTGGGAGGCCGCCGTGCCTGCCCTCACTTGCAGTCAAGTATACAGGTCACCCGTATGCTGGAGGCACTGGAGAAGAGTACGGAGGCCCCATCCCTCGTGTATGGGGCAAAGAAATACCTTCAAGGTATTCTCAGATCGGTTGGGCGGACCACTCGGGATGAGCGGAAGAAGGCTTTGCTTTCCGCTCAGCAAAAGCCTCAGATTCCGCTCACCTCGTCCTCAGTGGGCGAGGACCGCACCAATGCCATTGATTTGACGGAGGCAAGTGGTGAGTCCTAAAGCTGATCTGAAATTTTTGCTGCCGCTGCCCCAGTAGGGGCTACTTCGTGATCTCTGCGTGAGATGAGCTCCGGCTCTTCTCTCTTTTCTTTCTTTTCCTTTTTTGCTTTTTTTGCTTCTTGTTCTTTTGCGTCGTCGGAGCGCCAATTTGCATCGGGGGGAGTTCAATAATTTATTTTTCGAAAAGAAAAGAAATCCCCAAGAAAGGACCAAAGAAATTCAAAAAGGATGGGAGGCGTTCTGGACATTAGGGGCGAAAGATACCCAGCTTTGTTTTTGTTACATTTGGGAGAGAATTAAGATAAACAACTCGAAGTTGTATGGTTACAATATTTTGCATGTAGAAAAAGTAGACAATGTGATGATCTAGGGAGGATCTAGGGCTATATATAACTGGTTGTTCATTTCTGTTTGTCTCTGGACTTTTGAGCAAACACTTTACTATGCAGGTTGCAATCCAAATCAGGCAAACCTCTGCGTTTGAAGAACCTGCTACACAATCCTCCAACAAGAATCTCACTATGCAATTCAAGAGGATTATTAATAATGCATTGCATGCCTGACGACAAACCAATATTTAAAGAAACAAAGACATCCATTCCGGCCATCTTTCTTCTCCATCTCTCCACATATCCGCATCCCCTACATTTATCATTCAAGCAACTTCATCAAACCGGTTTCACCACATGGGTCCCCCCAAAAAGATTCATCATCGGCGAACGCGCCGCCTTGGGCAGGCGTTCGCAGATATCAAGGCAGAGCCCACTGCTTCACTACAGGTGAAGCGCAAGACCAGACAGAAGCTCGAGGAGCCTAACATCTCGGAAAGCATCCTTCAGCCTCGGGCTGGAGATGCTCCAGTCAAAACACCGGATGATGATCATGAACAAGGTTGGTCTACGAAATCATAGAAGACCTATTCTCCTTATAGAAAGTGGAAGCACTAACAGGTGTATCGATGATGTAGCAAAAGGGTCATTCATCAAGGTTGAGAAACCTGACCTTGATATGATAGATAGTCCTGAAGATAATAAGGCCGCTACTGGTGTTGATCAGAAACCATCCTCCGAGGATATCGATATGCCCTTGGCCCCGAAAATTGACCCCACTGAGCCACACATCAAAATTGAGAAGCCTGATCCTGATTTGACAACTCGTTTTGAAGACCAGAAGCCAGCTACTAGTGTCAAACACGATCCATCCTGCAATGATACTGGGATGCCACTGACCCCCAAAGTTGACCCAATTGAGCCATCAATCAAGGCTGAAAAGCCTGACCCGGATTTGGCAGCTGGTGTTGGGGAACGGGATTCAACCACTGGCATCAAACACGATCCATCCTGCGATGATACTGAGATGCCATTGGCCCCTAAAATTGATCCAAACGAGCCATCAATCAAGGCTGAAAAGCCTGACCCGGATTTGGCAGCTGGTGTTGGGGAACGGGATTCAACCACTGTCAAACACGATCCATCCTGCGGAGATACTGGGATGCCACTGACCCCCAAACTCGACTCAAACGAATCAACAACAACTTTTGACCACTCCGACTCTAAGCGCAGTCTCACCTCCTTCGATTCTCAAGATCTTTTGGAAGAGACACGTACTCAGAGCTCCCTTGATTATTCGGACACAAAGCCAGAAGCCCAGCTCTGTATCTTATGTTTCAAGCAATGGGGAAAAGAATTGGAGCCCGGCGAAAGGCTACTGGATTGCCAAATTACCCATGGAAGCTCTTTCAGTTGTAGACATTGTTCGGGGGAGCATTATAGATGTGACATAGTAAGCATGCACTGGCCTCAACAATTATAGCACAACTAACTTGGTGCTAGCTCCCATCTAATCTGACAAGGGACCTGTTACAATTGAAGCATGAGATGAACAGGGCCTTGGATGCAGGTGAGGCCATCGAAGAAAAGAAACGTTTCTACGATACATACCAAAATGTTTCCGGGGAAATTCATCAACCATCTGTCGGGGCCAGCGCATCATGTCTACGATTACATTTGCGGGATATAGAGAGAAAAAGGTGGAAGGGACGAGAATACGAGCAGAAGAACGCAGACCGAATCAAATCGAAACAAGAATACCGTCGAGAATACTACCAGAAGAACGCAGACCGAATTAAACCAATAAAACGAAAATACCAGCGAGAATACCGGCAGAAGAACGCAGACCAAGTCAAATCAAAACAACGAGAATACTACCAGAAGAACGTAGACCGAATCAGATCAAGACAACAAGAATACCAGCAGAAGAATGCAGACCGAATTAAACTAATAAAACGAGAATACAGTCGAAGATACCAACAGAAGCACGCAGACCGGATCAAATCAAGACGACGAGAATACCAGCGAGAATACTACCGGAAGAACGCAGACCGAATCAAATCACAACAACAAGAATACCGACAGAAGAATGCAGACCGAATTAAACTAATAAAACGAGAATACAGTCGAAAATACCAACAGAAGCACGCAGACCGGATCAAATCAAGACGACGAGAATACCAGCGAGAATACCAACAGAAGAACGCAGACCGAATCAAATCAAGACAACGAGAATACCAGCAGAAGAACGCAGACCGAATCAAACCAAGACGACGAGAATACCAGCGAGAATACTACCGGAAGAACGCAGACCGAATCAAATCACAACAACAAGAATACTACCAGAAGAACGCAGACCGAATCAGATCAAGACAACAAGAATACCAGCAGAATAATTCAGACCGAATCAAACCAAAACAACGAGAATACTACCAGAAGAACGCAGACCGAATTAAACCAATAAAACGAAAATACCAGCGAGAATACTATCAGAAGAACGCAGACCGAGTCAAATCAAGAATCCGAGAATACCAGCAGAAGAACGCAGACCGGATCAAATCAAGAAAACGAGAATACCGGCAGAAGAACGCAAACCGGATCAAATCAAGAAAACGAGAATACCGGCAGAAGAACGCAGACCGAATCAACTTAAGACAACGAGAATACTACCAGAAGAACGCAGACCGAATCAAATCAAGACAGCGAGAATACCAGCAGAAGAACGCAGACCGAATTAAATCAAGAAAACGAGAATACCAGCGAGAATACTATCAGAAGAACGCAGACCGAGTCAAATCAAGAATCCGAGAATACTACCAGAAGAACGCAGACCAATTCAAATCAAGACAACGAGACCGAATTAAATCAAGAAAACGAGAATACCAGCGAGAATACTATCAGAAGAACGCAGACCGAGTCAAATCAAGAATCCGAGAATACTACCAGAAGAACGCAGACCAATTCAAATCAAGACAACGAGAATACTATAAGAAGAATATAGACCGAATCAAATCAAGAATCCGAGAATACTACCAGAAGAACGCAGACCAATTCAAATCAAGACAACGAGAATACTATAAGAAGAATATAGACCGAATCAAAACAAGACATCGAGAATACCGACAGAAGAACGTAGACCGAATCCACTTAAGACAACGAGAATACCAGCAGAAGAACGCAGACCGAATTAAATCGAGAAAACGAGAATACCAGCGAGAATACCGGCAGAAGAACGCAGACCGAATTAAATCAAGAAAACGAGAATACCAGCGAGAATACTATCAGAAGAACGCAGACCGAGTCAAATCAAGAATCCGAGAATACTACCAGAAGAACGCAGACCAATTCAAATCAAGACAACGAGACCGAATTAAATCAAGAAAACGAGAATACCAGCAGAAGAACGCAGACCGAATCAGATCAAGAAAACGAGAATACCAGCAGAAGAACGCAGACCGAATCAGATCAAGAAAACGAGAATACCAGCGAGAATACCGGCAGAAGAACGCAGAAAGAATCAAATCGAAAACACAAGAAAAAAGGCTTAAAATGAAAGAGAATATGTCAATACAGAAACCAGGGGCCCGACTCAAGCAAGAAGGCCAGCTCAAGCAAGAAGGCCAGCTCAAGCAAGAAGGCCAGCTCAAGCAAGAAAGCTAGCGTTCCTAGGATTCACTATAGGAGAGAAGCATACCATGGGCTTAAGGTCGCCAGAATAGCCTTGGCAAGATCGCCGTCGGGAAATTTTGTCATTTCAATTTTGCTTCTATGGAAGCATTTATTTGGCTTGGGAGTTACTCTGGATTTTGGGATTCGGTGGATTTTGAGTTAGAAAGGTGTTCCAACTTTGGGGGATTCTACCGCGAGAGTTAGGTCAAGCCAAGTCACGGGGCCTTCCAAGGTTCCACTGTGAACGACATCCGACACGACAGGAAAGGAAAAGAGCTCAAAAGGTTATTTGTTTTGTTGTTTTATTTTGTTTTATTTTATTTCTATGACCAAATTTGATTTTATGGCTCTGAATATGCCCATGTTCATCTGTTTGGGCTATTTGCAGGTTAGTGGCAGCCGCCTGAAAGCACTTTGTCTCTTTTCAAGCAAGCAATACAAGTTTTCCTTAGATATGAAAGAGAAATAACTGGTAATCCCTCCTAGTGTATTGCCAGAAAAATGTATGGATCTAGAAGTTATATGATTGACAATAAGGTAGCCAAGGACATTGATATTGGCAAAGGAAAAGCCTTAAACATGCATAGTATTGATTAATATAAGTGCATTTTAAGGCAAGGAACATGCAGATAAGGCATGGAAGGTCAAGTTTAGAATTAGACTAAGCATATTCTACAGCTGTCAAGACACACGTTCACGACGCCTTTACAAGCCAAAGGCATTGGATTCCAAATGGTACACAGCTTATTCATGTCGTTTCAGTGGTCTACTCTTACACCGTTTTGGATTTTTTTTGCTCTTTCTTGCTCTTTGATATTCAGAGAAACAATGTCTCCATATGATGTGCGACACTATATCCTCATTTCCTAATCTGATAGACTGAGAGGTCTTTGTCTCCATGGGGATCTTATTGTGAGGTTAAAGATAGATAAACCCCCATTGTGTACCCAATGTACCCAATGTATTCAGTGTATCCAAGGTATCTAGGGTATATAGGGTAGTCTAGTTCATTGTATGGACTTAATTCATATATCTCTTTGATGTGTAGATAATTAGCACAGTCAAGCTTCAAGATCTCAAAAGGTCTCCAATATATGAGATTGTGTTTTCCCACCAACTTCAGTATCTCATCTCATCTTCATCTTCATCCCAATTTGTATCGTTTGTCTAGGGTTGTCCCCTATCACCTGTCACCTGTCACCTGTCACCTGTCGCCTGTCACCTACCCCTTCTGTCGCTTGTCACCTCTCCCATAACCCTCTTCTCCCACAAACGTCTTCTCCCCATCTTCTTTCCTTCATCCCTCTTACTTCTTCCTTCACCCTTCCATTATTATTGCACATTACCCTGTGCTCATTTTTATCTTGACCAAGTCTTACCTTCTTTTTTTTTTGTCAAGATGGCGACTCCTGGTCGCCCTCAATTTTTCTGTACCCGCCCTGACGGGACACTTACTCCACTCATCGCTGTTGATGAGTTGCCCATCAATGTCACCATCTGTGGCGTTTCTCGCACCCTCAATGCTGGAGAAACCCAGGGGATGACCAGCTGTGGCCTCGCTACTCAACGTGCTGAACCTTGGACCGTCAACGGGGTTCCCCAGTCCTCAGACCGTGACGTTGGAAAGGAACCTTTGTCAGATGTGCACAGTCTTTTGTTGCAGGTCCTTACCACCGAGAATGTCCCCGATACCATGCGGTCATCAGCGCAGGCAATTCTCATCAAGGGAATCGACCGCCCTAACGGACTTGGTGGTCAAGGCACCCCTGCCAGTTCACTGTCTCCTGTCGCGCCAGCATTCTATGCGAAGAATTCCCACACGGGCAATAAGCATGTATGGCTGAGTGCTCCTGGCATGTTATGTTTCCATGTTTCTAACTCTTTCAACGCAGGCCGCAAGCTCGAAGAAGGAATATTGCTCGTACTGGATTCGTCATGGCGAGTGTGACTACGCTCAGCAAGGTAAATTGACTGGATGCTCGAGACCCTATGAGGTCTTGGCTGACGCTATGTCGCATAGGTTGCCTTTACAAGCATGAAATGCCCACCGAGTTCCACATGATTGAGAAACTTGGTCTGCGTGACATTCCCCGCTGGTTCCGCGAGAAGCACAACGTAGCCAGCTTTTTGCACCCGAACCGAGATCGTTCGCAGCTTACCATCGCGAATCAGCCTCCCATGCGGGCACTTCCATCCCCAGTCCCACCTGTCAACGAGAGCTCCACTATGCATGCAGCCCCCAAGTTGAACAAGTCCCCTCCTCGTGGACCAGCCAATCGTGGGGGTCACAACGGATATGGTAACCACAACCAGCACCGTGGAGGCCGCAACGGGGCCCCTAATGGACATCATGGCAACAACTGGAAGGGCACCCATCGCGGTGGCCGTAACCGAAACATGGGCAATGCCCGCAATGGCGTCAGCAGCGAGCGCGACAGCGAGCGTAGCGGCGAGTATTCCCCCGACATGGAATCTGCCTCGGCTACCTACAACTATGGAACTCGTGAATATGGCAGTAACAGAGTGTGCACCCCGGCCACCCCGGCCGCTGTTCCAGCCTCGGTTCCAATTACCGTGTCGACTACTGGCAATGTTGCTGTTCCCATGGCTCCGCGCCAGTCTCTTTTAGATGACGGTAACTCCCTCAACCGGAATGCATACTGGAAGCTCAGCGAGCTGACCGATTGTAATCAAGATTTCGAAGATGTTTCGCAGAACCAGTTTGAGCTTCATCAACGCACCCAGCCGCGTCACGTGTACCAGCACAGCTCTTACCCTTCTTCGGATGGCGGTGTCATGCTCCCCAAGGAGCCCGCTGTGACCTACGATTCGAACTTCGGCGCCTTCACTCGTCCTGATGTTCCTTCTCGAAACCAGTCCGACTCCAACAGCCCTCATGGTACGGTTCAGATGAATTATGGACCTTCCATTTCCCAGGTTGGAGATCTTCAGCTTAACGACAACGTGCCTCTGAACTCGGCTGAGACCCGTGTCACTTGGGGTCCAATTGGAGGTCCCATCCTCAAGCGCACTTCCCCTCCTGCTGATAACATTGCACAAATGTTCGGACCTTACTCCAACCACCCTCACAGCAGCTAGTTGGACCATTTGACAAACCTTCACTCAGGCGTGTCTGGCCTGGGTGTACCACTCACTGACCGTTTTTATCTGTTTTTCGTGCACTTATGAGATCTGGTGCATCGACGTGATTTCACTTCGATGTCAACCTACCAGGTAAAATTATGCGATATCATACCACACCACACACATCCTATATCGACCAACCACAAGCATGGAAAACAAGACATACAACAAGACAAGACACCATGAGTGCGATAGGAGATGGCACTGGGGACAATTTGTTCTTTCTTCAGATGCTTTTTTTTTATTTTTTTTTATTTCTGCGTTATCTTTTGCGTTATTTTTTTTGTTTTCTTTTGCCCGGGGTTTGGGAAATTGTTACACCCGTGGACGCGTTGCCAATATGGATGATATGTGCCCATATGGAGTTGTGATTTCTTTTGTGATCTGTGATTTTAGGCTCATTGAACTGCAGCAAGGACTCCTGTCTGTCATGGACAGGATGTCATTGCTGGTTCGAGTACAGATGGAGTCTGATCTGGCGAGGAGTCTTGGCAATCTATCACAATATTTGAAATCCAATGCGCTGTCTTTTTTATTGACCTTTTCGATTCCAGTAGTATCTAGTATGTACTTGTGAGAATTCAAGTAGAGCTTCATAGAAAATAACATGCTTGTACGGCGCTAAGTCGAAAGGCGAACTACAAGATGGAATGGAGTAACAGCGAGCCGCCAATGCATGGAATAAAATGACTATAGTACATTCGAAAGAAAAGATGCCAAAAATCCTGAAATATGCGCCAGCGCCTCGCAAATGTCTGACAACAGCTTCTCAAACACGCCCAGTATACAGTTGACGAACATCTATCATCGACGAGCCACCTTTTTCCGTGCACCAATCTTGACAGCAACGCGCTCTCGCTCGTCAGTAGCCTTGGCCTGGAGAGCAGGGTTAAGGGAAGGCAGAGTCTTGATAGCATCGGAGACAACCGAATTACCGTCCACAAGGGCAGCTCGCGTCTCCTCTGCGGTTAGACGCTCCTTGCGCCGCGCGGCCAGCTGACTCCGACGGGTCTCGGTCATGTTCCAGGATTCGGGGAATTGCAGTCTGGTCTTGTACTTGTGGTGGCGGAGGTCAAGCGGGATATCGGCGAAGGAGTCACCTTCCTTAGCCTCCTTGACCATTGAGTTAACGACATCTGCAAGGTAGCGCTTGTTCTGGGCACGCGAGCCGAACTTCTCGCTCGACATGCGGATGATATCGGTCTGCGGGTTGTAGCGCGTACCGGCCAGCTTGAGGAATGTTTGGCGCTGGCCTTCGGTGAGATACTTGGGGGTCAGATCTTGGGATGCAAGCTCCATTACGACCTTGGGCTCGGCTGGGTGCTGTTCACCCATGTAGGTAGTGTAGCGGAAGCGGAGGATGTGGGTTTGGGGAGGCAGGGTGAATGGTTTGGCGAGCTCTATAGTTCAATGTCAGTGGATGGGAAGTGTAGTTCCCGATGAGCAATTGATCTTACTGCTCAGCATCGGCATGTCCCATGCTGTAATGCGGGCATATTCTCTCATTTCACGGTGCAATTCCATCTCTGCGTGTGCCAGGGAGGTGATTTCGTCATCATTGATCTCCTCGTCTCCATCCTCGAGTGTGTTGACCAAATCGTCAGGCTCGTCCTCGGCCCAGAATCCAGGCCGACGGGGGCGAATATCTTCGAACCGGAGATCCTCCTCTTTATCAATCTGTAGAACGGTCTGCTCGATTTCCTCAAAGGCCGCGGCGCGCTTCTGGGGGTTGTTGAATTCGGCAACCATGCGGGTGTTCTCTGCGTCGAATGCCGCGCGGTCCTCGGGAGACATCATATCGTACATGGAGCGCTGCTCCTTGGTCAGGAGATCGACGGAGTACTCAGGCATTGGGGGTAATCCTCCGCGTTGAGTTCCTTCGGCGGAGGAGGAATCACGGGGTCATCCTGGACACGATTGAGCGGCGAGGCGGAGAAGTACCGAGCAGAGGGGGCCATGAGGCCTCTCCGGGCCATATGCCTGGCTGGGCGAGTCAATAACCGAGCTGCCGAAGCCATTGTCGAGGGTATAGCGTAGGTAGGGACAGGATCTCAATCACGATGTTTTCCGCTTCCACTTTTGCGAGGTTCACCGCCGTACGCTATTCCATATTTAGCCTAGCGTGGTCCATCCACACGTGACACCATCGTATATGATCGCATCTTAATGTTTGGACTGTTCTCTCAACTTCTCGATAATGCATCTTTTTACGGCTTCCTTATGTGAGGATGATAATTGACCGCCAGAGAATCTTCGAAGGTTGATATCTCTACCCATTTCAACACAAAAACATCGTCACGATGAAGCTATGTTTTGTGACTGTGGGGGCCACGGCTTCCTTTCAGAAACTACTCGAACAAATACTTAGTTCACAATTCCTCGAGACACTAGCCAAACGTGGCTACACCCATCTTCTTATTCAGTATGGTAAAGATGGCCAGCAAGTCTTCCAAGACTTCATCGACAGTGACCAACCCCACCACGGTCTCACCCTTGGGGGGTTCGACTTCCAGCCTAGCATCGATGCCCAAATGATGATGACTGTGGAAAGAGAGGCTCTTGATCAAAAGCGCGGCTTGATCATCTGTCACGCTGGTATGATACATCACCATTTCGCGATCAAATATGTCAGGTCTTGATCCACTTACCATCATACAGGAAGTGGGACTGTTCTAGCAGGACTTCGCTTGGGCGTGCCCTTGATTGTGGTTCCCAATCCGGATCTTGCCGACAATCACCAGCAGGAACTTGCTGATGAGCTAGAGGAAGGAAACTACGTGATAAGTAGTTCGGTCAAGTAAATAATATTATCCTTCCTTTGTCTACTCGGCCAATCTGGCTAACTTCTGATCAGCGATGTGGGCAATGCAATTAGCAGAGCAGAGACTCAGAAAGCTGAGGTATTATCTATGCGAACTGGAAATACAACTCTTGCGGAAAGTATGTCTGACGAGTTGGGCTTTTTGGACTAAAAGGAACCTATCTGGTGACCTACAAGGACCAATTCCCACGAATCCGCTCTTGTTGACTTGAACAATGGGATTGGGAGATGCCTTTTGATCACGAATTATGATATTGCATGAAATTAAACCGGACATCGATCAAGCAATTGGTCCTAGTTCGGTCTATAAATTGAAGTGGAAGTCTCATCTGGTAGACTACAAAGAGAATCAAGTACTTTATAACCCTATTGAACCACCACCAATTAGCTTTTAGTCCCAAGTATTTGAATTATATTTCTTGTTTCATTATAGGCAAGTCGAAATATCATAATAATTCTGTAAACTTGCAATTCCATCGTTGCAAGTCCAATTCACTAGACGTGGACTAAGAGTGGCCCAAGCTCCTTGTTGACAATTCCCGATTTGCGGTTTCGCGTCCACTCCTGAATCAGTGACAAGAACATCAACGCCCAACCACCGAAACATTATATGCGTCTTCAATCCAACTTCCGCCCCGTCAATCCTCCGAGTCGCCCATTCTAGGCCGAAAGGCCGTCTATACCCGCGCTTGTCCTTCCCCGACATCACCTCCCATCCACACCACATTCCCCGCAATGGCTGAGGCAACCCTTCACAACGTGCCAATTGTCATCGACAATGGCAGTGGCACGATCCGAGCAGGCTTCGCCGGAGAGGAAATTCCATCATGTTATTTCCCGTCGTTTGTCGGTCGTCCCAAGCACCCACGGGTGATGGCCGGTGGTCTGGAAGGAGACTCGTTCATCGGGTCCCGTGCACAAGAACTCCGCGGACTGCTGAAGATTAGGTATCCTCTGGAACATGGCATTGTCACGAATTGGGAAGATATGGAATCGATCTGGCACTACGTCTACGAAAACGAACTCAAGACACTCCCCGAAGAACACCCCGTCCTGCTCACGGAGCCACCGCTGAACCCGCGCGCCAACCGTGATATCGCTGCCCAACTCATGTTCGAGGCTTTCAACGTCCCGGCTTTGTATATGTCGATTCAGGCTGTGTTGTCGCTCTATGCATCTGGCCGGACTACGGGTGTCGTCTTGGATTCTGGTGATGGTGTCTCCCATGCAGTGCCTGTCTTCGAGGGTTTCGCTATTCCGAACAGTATTCGGAGAATTGATGTGGCTGGTCGTGATGTTACGGAACAGATGCAGTTGCTGCTGCGGAAGGCTGGACATGTGCTGCACACTAGCGCCGAGAAGGAGGTGGTGCGGATGATTAAAGAGAAGGTCTGCTACGTGTCGCTGGATCCTAAGCGGGAGGAGAAGGAGTGGATGAACAGCTACCACAAGTCTGATGCGAAGGCGATGGACTACGCTCTTCCGGACGGTCACAAAATCAAGGTATGCACTGTTTTGGAATATCATTTTGCCCTGGGGTTACAACAATGCTAATGAGCTTCCCTCTTCAGATCGGCCAGGAACGTTACCGTGCGCCTGAGATCCTCTTCGATCCCGAACTCATCGGCCTCGAGTATCCCGGTGTGCACCAGATCGTGCAGGACGCCATCACCCGCACAGATCTCGACCTGCGAAAATCGTTATACCTCAATATTGTGCTTTCTGGGGGTTCAACGCTGTGCAAGAACTTCCCTGATCGGTTGATGCGCGAGATCAAAAAACTAGCAGTCGAGGACATGAAGATCCGCATTTCTGCGCCTGCTGAGCGCAAGTACACCACATGGATTGGTGGTAGCATTCTTGCCGGGCTGAGCACGTTTAGAAAGGTACGCAAATATCTCCCTTGGGCAATTTATCACAGCTAACTAAGTGATTTCTCTAGATGTGGGTAAGCGCAGACGAATGGCACGAGGACCCCGAGGTGATCCACAAGCGATTCGCATAAAGGACTCGAGTCGTCTATGATGAAAGTCTTTGATATCCTGATGGCCTGGTTCCGAGTCAACTCTGGGACTGCTCACATCTTCTGCCTCCAACGCGATCCCCAAGACACCATCCCCAATCCCCAGAACAAACACAAGAAACAGATCTTGTCAACCTGGATCGATCATCATGAAATTGGCAGTACATACCAAGAAGTGATCGACCATACATCGCAAATCCGAGTCGCATCCCCGACTCTTGATACCCCAGTTTCCAATTTCCTAACCAGCTAGTGTCGTCGTGGCATTGGCTCTGACTTTATTGCAAATACAGTCTCTTTTGCGTCTTGGGGGGTGGTTCTACTCTAGACATAATTTTGCTCGGACATACCTGCATACACAACGTTCTCGCCATAGTTAATGTTTTTCTATTCCATCTGTGTAGCTTGTTGGGTCGCCTTAACTAGTTGATATATATAAGCAGGCTACTTTGAAATATCCAAGTATGTAGTAGACTAGGCGATCAATTTTATTGTCTAAATAGAGATAAAAACCAGAGAATAAATATATGTCGCCATATGCTAGTCGACATACTAGCATATGGCGGTGGACTTAGAACCCACTGAGATGAAAGAAAATATAAAATGACAAACCAAATCAAGAACCCGTCGAGAACAATCAAGAAGAACCCATGGACACATGGACCAAGGAATATCTCCTAGACCATGGAATAAAATAAAAGCACCAAGCACCAAGCACAAAGAATAATCCCAACCAAAAAGATCAAATTCGGCTTTCATCGCCTATCCGCGGGTACAACCTTACGCCTTGACATGCGACAGTCTGGATTCGCCATCGCCATGAGTGGAACCCAACAAGCACGTCTTGACATACGAAATCTACTACTACAATGATGTAATCGGAACCATGGAGATTAATATTGGAAGACACGTAATCCAGCAAGGGAGATATCCCAAGCATGCAATTTGCAGTTCATTGTTTAAACCCACGGCTAGGAAGTAGTAGCTCAGAGTGGCGATTGAGGGGGAATATGTTGAAAAACTGAAGAAAAAACACAGAATGTGCGACACAATGAGATAAATCAAGGGGGGAACTCCGAGAATGATACGGCCAGACAATTGTTGTTCGATGGCGCGATCTGATCTTATGTTGAAATGAAACTCCGTAAAGAGAAACCCGGTTTCCAGAACCTGGCGTGTGATGTAGGGTGGTTTGGCGAGAGCGCAATGAACCACAAAGAACAATGAAACGCCGGTTTGTCCATGATTGAAGAATTTGAGTTTGAGTGAAGAGAGGTGAGGGATCAATGTGAGATATGTGAACAAAGAAACGATGGTGTGCCATGGGAGGTAGATGAATGGTAGATGGTTTGGAATTGGGGGTATTTCACAGACGCATCCAGAAAGAAACATGACAGATAGCGAGAGGGCTGTCGATGTCTCGTGTGAGATTAAAAAAGAGAAGTGTTGAAGAGAGAAAGGCAAGAACTTTTTTGGTTGTCGTTATGTCGTAGATATCGATCTCGTCAGGGACGAAAAGAGTGTTGTTGCAAGGGAAGGGAAGTAAAAAAGAAACAATGCATCTAGGTAGTAGTACCCTTCAGCTTGCCCCAACCCTTCTCAAGACCACGACGGGCCATGTCACGGGCACGATCAGCCACAGATCCAGTGCTGGAATTGGTAGCTGTGCTGGCAGCCGAGTACTTGCGACTTAAGCTGGAATTGCTGCAGTCGTCACGATCACGGTAAATGGTGTTACCGGCACCACCACGACCGACGTGGTAGACGGGGGCAGCGCGACGTAGATCACGTTCGAGTTCTTCGTCGAAGCTGAAGATGGCACGCTCGCTGCTGCTGTGGACGTTGCCGGCACCGCCACGGCCGGAGATGAAGGTTGTTGGGACGCGGGAGTCGAGACGAGCGAGAGAAGCTGGACCGGTTGCGCTGCGCGAGTCGGTGGTCTTGGTGTTTTTCAGATTGACAATATTCCCAGATCCTCCTCGGCCAGTGTAGACGGCTGGACGGCCAGCATGGGGCACCGAAGGGTGTGGTTCCACAACGCGGTAATTTGAAGGCATGGTTGTGTGGTTGTGAGGTGTGAAGATTATATGTTGTAGATCTGAAGTATATGGAAGGTATAAACAGTCTATGCTGTAAGGACTATGAAAACTCCATCAAGTGCAGGATTTGATAATGGATCCTTAACAAACGGGGACTTTCAGGTTATATAGTCTCTGGGACCTTTTTTGGAGTCATTTCCCAGATCCAGGCACGACATCCAGTCACAAGGTCCTGTGGGGTTTTTGGATTTAAATTTTTCATTTTTTTTTTTGGAATTTATTTACCATCGTCATCGGTATCTAGCGGCTGGGGATATTTCCATTTTGGATGCTATGTCAGCACACACACGTGTTCTGAATAAGCCCCTGTGATCTGGTTAAGAAAAATGATTGGCTCCAAACTTCCCCCAGATGATAAAACTCTGGCTGCTTTTACCAAATTGTCCACTGGGCAACCAAGTCATCTGACTGGAGCTACTCCACCAATAGTGAGTAGCAAGACGTAACAGAAACTCCCACGACAACCAATGAGAATTTCCATTACCCCCAGGAAATGCAGAAAAACCTCTCATTTTAGGATCGAGTTGTCCAGATCTTGACAATGCACAATGCGCAGTATAACTCACGTTATTATCCCTTGTAATCACACACCGCAACAGGGGCCATTTACATTTTCTTGAGCACGTCAGGTGTTGCGCAATTCTAATCATTTAGGCATATACATTGGCATTAGGCATTAGGCATTAGGCATTGTAGTCATGAGCTGAAGTAAAAGATAAAATACTCACGATGTATTGTAGAATACAGAATACCAAGTGAGTAGGTATTTTACTGCTCCAACTAATTGCATCATTCACCGGGCCGTGTCCACTTTCTATTTCCAGAGAATAGGGGGCTAATTGTGCACATTTTTCAATTTCGGTGTTTGTACGGAGTATTAGTGTGACACTGTGACACTGGGTTGTACAAGCTATATACACAATTCAACTCTTATGATTAACTATAATAACATTAGTTAATCTAATTGTGAATATCAATATCAATATCAGATTATATACTCCGTAGTAAAATATCAGATCAAATAAAATACCATACACTGAAATTTCAACACGTAGATCGCTATGTACGATGACCCCATCGTACTGATATTTGCAGGGATAATTCTTCCTTAGCCCCGTTGATCCAACCTTGGGAGTCTAGGGCATCGACTAGTTGTTTGCAGTCTAGAAGAAATCACTCACCGCAGTCCAACTCCTACCATTACCCAATATGTTGTATGTTGTATGCCGAGAATGGTGTCCAAGGTTGACCTCCTTGGCTTCATTGTCTCTCAACTGAGAACTGAGCCGAGAAGTCTGAGACGGAATAGGTAAAGTGCCGTTCCCCAGATGCTGAATGACGTTTGAAAAAAAAAAAAAAAAAAAAAAAATCTGTTCTCATGTGCGCTGACTGGCCGAGTCATCCGAGCGGCGAAACAACGAATCATCTCCTTTCGGAGTCTGTGCGTTTGCCATTTCCCCAGATTTTCTTTTCCCCAACTTTTCTTTTTTTTGGTCTGAGGGACCTGCGGGAAGTTCATGCGTCTCTGACATGACCTTGCCTCAACTTCTAAGGTTGATACCTCAACCCCCGCTTAGGGACTAGGAAGTAATTCCGTGGCCTCACGTGTTCATTGTGAATACGTGTCTTCCTCTAGTGACACGAATTGTAGTAGTATGGTCAGGTACAACAGTAATATCATCCCCCAATTGGATCATCAGTGTGCACCTGACTTGGAATTCTTCAAGGGAATAAGATACATAGCATTCTACTTCGTATATCAGCCCCCTAACATATCAAACACAACTATACTCCGTATTGTATATCATATACTCTAAATGCGCGATTAAATCAAACGCCAAGTACTCCATGACAGTGTCCATCTTACATATCCAATCCCAATCCATCCATTCATACATAGTTAGTTACCTAGTCCACTCCCTATGTTATACACTAGCCATCGAATACCCCATTATTAGATAATAGCGCAGTATCATGACACATGATTATCACTGTCCCAAGGCCGAGACCCGGGAACCGGTTAGTTTGGCGGCTCAGTGCCGGGGCTGCATTATTACAATATTCAACGATGGCGCAAGGACTGGATTTGATGTACAATAACCTTGGAATAGTCTGCTGTTTATGCAGCCTTGTGGTGTCTTTTTTAGATATATACAAAAGCGGTAAAAAGCGTAAACGTCTTTCTATGTATAACCGGGGGCAAGGGAAAGTACACTGTCCAATTTTAGGGCCACCCTGGAAACTACCACGTAGTCTTATTAAGATCCTGGAGTAGGTACCCCCGGGGCCCCAAGCCAGCTCCAGAGGATCCCAGCACTTCCCTACTCATCCGGTCCTCGGGTATCGTACCGGGATTGGCACTGATGTTGGCTTGGGAGCCATTATTATTGAGTAATTGCACCATCTCGCCAATTTACCGTTTTACCTGGCCCTGTGCTTGTCGATGTGACCTATTTCCCACTGTACCCGGCTGACCGGGTCAGCTGTGTTACGTTTGAGGGAGGTCGTCGGGGTCGGAGACTAAGCTCGCTGGGTTGGAATTTTGGCTGGCTTGGTATTGCTAAAGATGTCGGTAGGTGTTGGTGTTGGGAATTGGGGTGAGAACCTTGGAGGTCAGTTACCTTATTGATCCATGTCTCGCATGTTTAACTCAAGGTACTGTTGTTGTTGTTGCGGGTTGACATTTATACCAACCTCTAAATTGTATAATACGAAACACGTTTTTATGTTTTGTGTAGGACACAGAAAACAAGACTTCCGAACCTGGCTGGCAGTGGTGTCTAAAATGCTTGTCTAGGATTCGTGATGCGTTGGATTGTCAACTGTCACACTACGACGATAGCACAATGGTTTCAGAAAAAGTTCAAGTCGAATGTCAAATGATCCCCAAGGATCAGCATCCATGTCATCTAAATTCCCATACCCCCACCGACAGTGATCTAGTATCTAACTACATATAATCCGATGTGGACAACAATCCAACCATTCTCAATGCAATATCCCAAGCTCAAGAACTTCCAAGTTGACCATCTGAGACCCAATGGGCACCACCAGCACATCGGTATCCACCGCTCTCTTTACACCACTGGTAGCCCTGGACACATACTCCCATGGACCGCAGCTTCATCTGATTGGCTTGTTCCTTACGACGCGC